TCCGGGCCCCCGCCCCAGCAACCCGATTCCCAGCAGCCCCCGGGCGATCTCAACGCATCTAGCTCTCCCTCAGCATGCGGGAGGGGCCAGGTGGGGTCTGGGAGGGTGGGGCGTGCCCCCTTCTCTAGGTAGACTTCTGTCACAGCAATTATATTATTATCCCGTGGCTGTGTCTCTTGCCAGTTCTTGGGATGACGTCGTTCCGGGAGTGGGGTACAGACTCAGGTAGGGGGCGACTCTCTGGGATCCATCCCCCCCTCTCTGGTTCCCCTCAGCACCGACCCCTCCTCCAAGGAGCTGTCCCTCCACCTGTGGCTGTGGTTTGCCTCCCTGTCCTGGTCACTTGTGTACCTGGTGGTGAGGAGGCCTCAGGTGAAGCTGGCCAGGCCTTCAGACCCTAATTGCCTGTCTCCATAGGTCACGTTCAGGGGGCGGGCGCTACAGTGGGAGGGGTGGCAGTTAGCTGTCGTGGTGGACAGGATGGAAACATTGGTGGGGTGAATCTTCCTTGCTCAGAACAGAGCAAGCACACAGCAGAATCAACGGATGAGAGAGAGAGAGGAAGAGAGACTGTGTGTGTGTGTGTGTGTGTGTGTGTGTATGTACACATATGGCAGGGACAGGGAAGGAGCAGGATGAAGGAATGGTGAGGGAGGCAGAACCCCTTGTCGCTTCCCCTCCTTCACTCTTCTTGGCAATAAAAGCTTCAAGATCGGCATCTGAGCCCTAGCCGGTTGCTCAGTGGTTAGAGCGCTGGCCCCAGGACAGAAGGGTCTCAGGTTCCATTCCGGTCAAGGGCATGTGACTCAGTTGCGGGCTCAATCCAATCCATGTGTCTCTCTCACACTGATGTTTCTCTCTCTGTCTCTCCCCCTCCCTTCCACTCTCTAAAAATCAGTTTTTTAAAAAAAAGATCAGCAGCTGGAGGCCGGGGGCTGGACAAAGCCATCTCCTGTCCCCTTCTGCCCCAGGGGGTCTCCTTTCCCCTCCCCCCTTGGAACACCACTGCCCTTACGGAGTGGCCTGAGGCTCCTGTCAGCATGGAGGGTGCGCAAGGCCCCTCATCCCCAGGCCTGGGCCCTGCCCCCATCTCCCTCACCCCAGAGCCAGGGAGGAGCAATCTCCCCCCCGCCCCCAGCCCCATCACTTTCAATCACCTGCCCAGCTCCTGCAATAACCCACGTTCCCCACAGCTCCTCGGGGCTAATGGCACGGCTGCCTCCTGTCCCTGGGTGCATGGCTCCCCCTACACGGTGATTCAATCTGGGTCTTATCACCCCTAGGCCTAGCCCAGTGGTGTCTGCCTCTTGTCCAGGCTGGTTAGTGCTAATGGAGGCCTGACCAGGGCTGCAGGCTGATTGATGGGAGGCCTGGCCGCTGAGGGCAAGTTCGCAGGCCTCCTCTCCTGCCCTGGGGTGGGCGGGCTGGTGCTGCACTACCCCAGTGAGGGAGGCTTCAAGCAGGTGGAGTCATGGGAGGAGGAGGGGTGGCAGCCTGGAGGGAAAAACAGGGGGGAATAGATCTGACAGGTGAGCCTAGGGACAGAGAGACGGTGCAGACAGATGGGGACAGGACCTACAGGTGCAGAGGCACGTGGGGACTGCAGAGAGAGACAGCAGAGTGGAGACAGACACACACACGTGGGTGGACAGAGGAGGGACAGAGAGACAGATGAGTGGACAGCAGCGGAATCAGAGTCCTGGAGAACAGCATGGACTCCCGGGCACTTTATCTCACCTGCACTCCCACCCTCCCTGCCTCTTCTGCCCCTTGAGCCTCTCTTCAGGGCTGGGAGGTGTGTGTGTGGGGTGGGGGGGGGGGCGGCTCCCAGCCTTGGAGACTCTGTGTTAGGCTCAGGGCTCTGAGTTTCAGCTGACATTGAACAGGACTGAAGCAGAAAACAGGGGATGGAGGGCAGGTAGCAGAAGGGACCTGCCAGGGCACGGGTAGCATTTCCAAGGTCAAGAGCCTCAGAGACTTAAAATCACAGCTGGAGGTCTTGCTGGAAAAGCTGGGCAGGTGAGGTGAGGGGTTCACTCCGGGAGAGCCCGGGCAAGGAGCTGGGCAGGTGAGGTGAGGGGTTCACTCTGGGAGAGCCCGGGCAAGGAGCTGGGCAGCTGTTATCTATCTGGGAACAGGAGCTGAAGCCGGTCACTCCGCCCCCTTCAGGCCATCTGGACCCAGAGCCTGGTCCTGGGTGGTGAAGAGGGGGGCTGGCACCCACATGACCAGCTTCACTGATGGACATGCATTAGCCACAGGCACTGGCCAAGCCCACACAGCCAGGCACACACACACACACACACACACACAGCCCTCCCCGCTCAGAGCTGGGGGGTTGGCAGCCCCCCGCCCCCACACCCTATTGTGATGCACGCTCCCTCCCTGTTAGTTACCTCTTGGCTGTGCCAAGTCCATTAGCTGCACCCCTCCCCCCACACACACCAGGAGCTGAGCACCAGCAGAGATGGATCAATGGAATGGGACCCTGAGGACCCAGGGGGAGCTGGGACAGGGACCTGAGGCTGTGGGAATCAGACACCTGGGTCCTCTGGACCTGGCATTCTCCCCCGCACCCCTCCCCCTGCCCGCCGCATCCAGCTCTTCCTCTCAGAAATGCTGTCCTGGAGGGAAGGCAGAGGCTCAGAAAGGGTGGTGGGCACTGCCAGGGCACCCAGCATCCAGGACAGAACTCAGAATGCCTCTCTCTAAGGAAGCTCCTGCCAGCTCCCCCACACCAACTCTGAAGAGAAGGACTCTGGTGCAGAAGCCAGGGGCTCCCCAGCCCCCCACATGGGGAGTTTCTCTAAAGAAGCCAGGGGCTCCCCAGCCCCCGACATAGGGAGTTTCTCTAAAGAAGCCAGGGGCTCCCTAGCCCCCCACATGGGGAGTTTCTCTAAAGAAGCACTCTGGTGCAGAAGCCAGGGGCTCCCCAGCCCCCCACATGGGGAGTTTCTCTAAAGAAGCCAGGGGCTCCCCAGCCCCCCACATGGGGAGTTTCCCTAAAGAAGCCAGGGGCTCCCCATCCTGCCCCGTCTCCTGCCCCAGAGGACGGACAGTCCTTCCTAGGCAGCCTGGCTTCCTTCCTGTCCTGCTCCCTCAGGGCTGGATCCCGACAGGAGGGCAGAGCTTCTGCTCTGGTTTCCAGAAACAGTGTGGGCAAAGCGCTGGGCAGCCTGGGTAGAGAATGTCCTGAGCCCCCTGGGATCCCGGAGGTACAAAGGGTTTCTAGAGAGAAGTCCAGTCTCCGTGGGCCCTGGCGCTCTAACTACCAGCTGGAGAGCACCTCTGGCCAAATTCCTAAAGTGAAGTGGCCTTGAGCAGGCTTCTGGGGAGGAGGAAGTGAGCCCGGGAGGAGCCAGGACCCGGGAATCCTGACTTTCAGCGACTGCCAGGAGGACCCACCAGGCAGCCAAGCTCCCCCACTGCCTTTCCCGGGAATGAGGTGACTCCATTACCTGGAGCATCAGTCCCCTCCCAGACTGTCTCTCTCTGTCCCCCACCCCCACCCCAGCTCTGACAGCCTGTCCTGCTAAGATGGAAAAGTTTGAGCAGCGTTGGCTCTGGGGCACTGGGGAGGAGAGAGGTCTGGAGCCAGGAAGGACAGAGACGGGACAGGGCCAGAGCTGCAGGCGGGGCCTTCAGAGGGGCCCAGAGCAGCGCAGAAGAACAGACTGGGCGTGCAGAGGGCACGGGGCAAAAGGGAGAGAGCGCAGGTGCAGGAGGGCAGAGCCGTGGTCTGTGGGGGCAGAGCCCAGGGCAATACTCGGAGCCCACCTCCCGCTAAATGGGGTGCCTCCCGCTTTCTCCTGGCCTGGCTTCCCTGGAGGTGAAGCCTCTGGACTCTGGAGTCAGAGTGCCTGGTTCTGCACTTACCAGCTGTGTGATGTCAAGCAAGTTACTCAACCTTTCTGTGCCGTCATGTCCTCTACAAACTGGGGGGTGAGAATAGCACTAACCTCATCGGGTGATGAGGTTTAAACAAGTCTCCTGTGTAGAGCTTTTGCCACAGGGCCTGGTCTGCACCCTTTCCCATTCCTCCTCCTCCATTTTCCTTCTCTTTTTCTCTGTTCTACTCCCAGTCCAGGCCCCAGCCCTGGTCTTTGGAGAAGAGGCAGGACAGGCGGGCAGGGGTATATTTTGGGGGGCTAGGGCTCCCAAAAGAGAAGCTCGTGCCCCCTGATTCCAACCACCCCCTCCAGCTGCAGCTGCTTGTGAGAGGACTTGCCTGGTGGGGGTATGAGGTGAGGAGGGGCTGCAGGTCCCTGGGCTGCCCCAACAGATCCTGTGGGAGGAAGAGCCCAGGTACTGCTGGGAGGGCAGGGCCAGAGCGCCCCCTCTGGTCCCCCCCCCATCAATTCCAGTCCCCTGACGCCCTGATTTCTCCCAGTGGGAACTTGCCTCCCAGCTCACCTCCTCCGGGGAGCCCTCATGGATTAGACACGGATTTGGTACCCTCATAGGTGCTTCCCAGGTCACAAACCCTCAGACTCTCAGGTCTCCGATGCGTCCACCCAGGAGTGGGAAAGATCTTCTGAGGCTTCTCTCCCTCATCCCCGTGGCCTCCCATTCCTGGGTGTCAGGAAGTCCTTCCTGCTATCTCCCTCCAGTTCCTTCCTGGATCTGAAGGGGTTATCAGCTCCAGCCCCCTCCCCGCCCCCCACCACTGCAGGTCCCAGCTGCCTGGGGCCTGTGGTCAGAGCTAATGTAGGTGAGAGTTAGCGGACAAGAAGGGATAGAGTTATTAGCGTCTTTATCTTTGAGGAGTATCGATTGTGGGGTCTCCAGGCTCGCTTGGTCTTATAACGGGGCTCACGGGGGTGATGGGAGGGGCTCAGGAGAACCTCCTGGAACCGATGGCCCTTGTAGTGGGTGGGAGCAGGGCTGCTGGGTCTTCTCAAAGGAGGACACAGGGAGACAGACACATGTGGGAGGCAAGGGCTCCGGGAAGGCAGGGGGACT